AAATAAGGAGAAATATGTTTCTTAACAAGAATACTAGAGATTCTTTTCTTGTTTCTTTCCTAAAGAAAGGAAAGCCTCTCTTTCAATATCATAAATGCCGCATTCCTTGGGATCCAAAACAAATGAACATGAAATGAGTGAGTCGGCTAAATAGAATAACTCAGAATGGTGTTAGTCAGCCACCTTATGATAATAAAATAGATCCACTTCCCCAACTTTTTTACCATCCTTTCTTGAATAAGGTTCCAAAGCTACCTTTTTAAGGCTTCCACCCAGGGCATTTCTCAAGTAAGACAAAGTAGGACACTTCCATAGTCAATATATTGTCCTAAAAATAGAACTGATTTTCCATCCAAATGAACCAAAGGAAGGCTCTAATGAAGCTTAACCCAGGTTCCAGCAATTACAGAGGCTTGCAATGGACCAATTAAGGAGATATGAAATACTTCAAGCGTCATCTTCTTTCTAAATTTATCATCCACATCACTTCAACCACCGTGCAATTGGGTCCTTGTGATTACGTGATAGATATCTAATTGTCTTATCTCATTTCATTCCGTTTCTTGGGACATTACCACAAAGTGAGTCCTTTCCATTGAGACAATTTCCCCCTTCCTTCGACGGTCTTGCTTGTGAGTGGTATGACAATCTCAAGTTCAAGTCCATATCAAGCTGAAAACAAATGCAAAGGGCTTAGGCATGTTGTGGCTGTAGAGGTGGGGCTGCTGCCGCCTGATAAAGGCAGAGTTCCGCAGTTGAGTATTTGGGACCCTAAGAATGGGTTTTGCCCAAAGCATTGAATCGATTATCACCCATTGGAGCAGGTGAAAAAGTATAATATTTTCAGAGAATGGGTTCAAACACCATGGTAACCACCAATCAAGAATACTATAACCCTATGAGTTTTATAACAACTAAACGTATTAAAGTTAGACAAATTGTCTAGGAGAACACTCAAGGTGCACTTAAATTGGCCCGAACGCTAATGATATAACAAAAAATAATCCTCCAACAGATCATTTATGATCAAAACCAGGTTTATTTTTTTTAAATGAAAAACCAAAAAATAGGCATCGACCCAAACCTCACTCTAAGAATTCTCCACGCATCTTAAAACTTTCCTATTTCACTCAAGCTAAATATTCCACAAGACCCCAAAGGATCGCTTTATAATTGCCTATCCTTTCACGAAAGCATTATGATTGATAGGGATTGTCATGGCCTATGGGCAACAATTACTTCTACCTTTCACTCAATACTTCTCAAGTTAAACGCAAATTTTATTCTTTTATTAAAAAAAAATATCATCCTTTTCCCTAAAATGCTCACTGAAAAAAGCCATTCATTTCATATTTGCATGAAGATGAAATATATAATTAAAGAAAATAACATACTCAGAAATCGTGCCAGACCAATCTGGAACTTCGGCTTGAAACCCTTTGCCAATCCGAACACCAGTTGTATAAGGTTCTGTATCAGTTAACATTAATGCTATGGAGTTCGATTCACTCTTAGAAGATCCATTTCTACTTGAGATGTTTGCCAATTTCTTGGTAATTGCTTCGTTCAAAATTTTATGTTTCTTCTTCAAACATGAGTTGCAATACCACTCATCATTTGACACTTTCTTCATGCGATGATTGCCACATAAGACGTGAAATGCATCTTCACAATGATCACAAATTAACATCTTCAAGGCTGAATCTGAAGAGCCACAAGTTTTGCACAATCGAAAACAATTGTTTTCGCTTCTTAAATCACTTTCTTGCTCAGAAGCATGAGCCATAGAAGATAGAAGCCCGTTGCTTCTAAGGATAGAAATGCATAGATCTCTTCCTGATATATCCTCGACCATATCCTCCATGACTCGAATACTAGAAGACGAGCACTCACCTGTGTCGTCCACTTCAACCTTCAAGGAAGTTGAAACACGTTCCATGTTTGACTTTGATGAGGAGCAGCTATCATTTATGCTGTCAACCTCCAAACTTTTTTGCAGGTTATTGTTAAGTGTTTCATCAGAACCATGCCCCTCCCCAATGGTACAACCATTGATTGATTCTAGTCCTGAAACTTGAGCTTTTCCATCGCAAACAGGACGAGGAGGGATAACATTTCCAACAATTTCACTCTTGTGGATATGTCGAGAAGTCGTAGCCTGCTCTTTGTCTTCTATCAAATGACCATCACAACTAATCAAAGAACAACAATCTGTCCCATTAGCCAGCAACCTGGAATCAGAATTGCCACGCAGTTTCTTTCTCTTATATACTACATTAGATTTTGAACCTCCAGGCATCATACTAATAGTTGATATCTGGGAAAAAGCCCTTGGAAAATTTAAGCAGCGCAAGCCACCATCATTCTTCTTTTCCTCTATGATTTGTCCAGCTTTTCTGCAGCCATCATGAAAGAATTCATCACAATGGGGGCACATCTGTGAATTTCAAGAGCAGACACAACATTAGATATTACGAGAACTAAAACAAGATTTGCTAGAACTGTGGAGCTTATCCGATCATTTATCTAGCATCAGTATATTCTTTCGGACAGACAAGAGACAGCATGCCTTTCTTGAGAAATTGAACTGTGGATCCCATTTAATTTATAATCCATCGACAGGGTCTCAAAGATTTCTTCAAGTTTTCTTAAAAAAAAGGGGACAAATCGAATTAGAACTCAATTGCCGTCTCAATCTTCCTTCTGATTGGAAGCCCTACAAACTAACATAGCCAATAACACGACGGTAAATGAAAGTCTCCCCTTGGAACTCTCCAAAATCTGTCTATTCGGTCCATATTCTTCCCAACTCCAAAACATTTAACCCTAAATTTTCATACTCAACAAATAATAATCGTGCATCCAACTTCACAATATCGAGCAACTTGGAAAACAATTATTGTGCAAATTTATATCATCCTCTCATAGAACCTTCTAGTTTAAATCTTAACCCATGGGATCAAAAACTAGACTGCGGCATGTAATTCTCAAGTTTCCGTCGACTACAAAAACCACACCAGAAAATCTATCTTAACAGGACATTTGATAACAATCTCCTATCAGTTGGTGAGTTATATACTCAAACACTGCTAAAAATCGATTCAATAAGAAATGAAGTTTGAACACAAGCAACCTGCAATTAAAGAGGGCAAGAAAAGTTGAACCACAACATGATGCTACGTTTTGTTCCCGATTGTTAAAGTAAAGAGGGAGAGATTAAACTAACCAAAAGAAGCGTGCAATCTGCCAGTTCCTCTGAATGATAAACCCAGTTGTGAAAATGCTTCTCCTCTGCTTCTTATCACTCAGAATCCGAGATTCATCTATTTCAAAATTATGCGTTTTTATTAACTTTTTTCTTTTATATTACAGAAAAGACAACGTCCGTGTTTTTGCACTCAAATTGGTTCATAGAGGGCTCCCTGACGATCACTAGAATAGAAACTACTTTTCATTTTTGCTTTGTGGATCAACCAATTTGCATATTAGACTAGTTTTGTTTGTAAAATACAAGCGTTACATGAGAATGAAGAAAAAAGTACCAAAAATAATGGATGATTCCGAACAGGTGCATTGAGAGCTATAATAATTTCTTGGGTTTTTGTACGGAGTGGGCAAAGCCTATGAAAATTGAAAAAAAAATGATCCATTCAAACAAGTCAATACTTAGTGGCTAATGTGGGCATAGCTTTAGAAGGGCTAAAACGTTATATTCTTCCCAAAGTTCGAATTTGGTGAAGTATTTATGGAATCAAGCAAGAAATCATGCATTTCTTTTATTAACAAATAAGGTATTTTGTTGAAAACTATTGTTTGAGAGATGAACCGTCAATAAAAAGAGAAGGTTCATAGACAACTGATAAAGGAAAGTCCTCGAAGTTAATAAAATAGTTTTTACATCCACTAAAGTCTCACAGTTATATTTTAAGTAATATGTAGTGATCTTTTTTTTTTTGTGACCATCAATATATAGTAGCTCGTAGCTCAAATCGTGAAAATAACCATCAGAACTTATTAATCAAACAATTGAGTAGAATGGAAACAAATAACAATCGACTTTGTTCTACCCTGTTGTTATTAGAGACACATTTGAATAGAAATTTTGGTTAGAAATGTTATTATCACAGCTTGGTTGATCAATCAAATGTCTATGATTGAGACTCTTCAATTCCATTTCATTCCATTTCTCTGGAAGTGACCTGGTAGAATTTTCTTGAACACTATAAATCCAATGGATACCATTTAATCATCAAATGTGTTCTTAACATTGAAGCAATTCCAACCTCGAGAACATTGTTCAAATCGATACCATTTGTAAAATCTAGACAAAACTGACACTTGTCTTGCTTTTCATTCAATATAAAAGCTAATCAAAGGACATGCATAAAAATGTAAAATGTAAACAAACCTTCCAGATGGAAGAAAATGAATCACAGTCCTCAAAGGGCACCACCGCAAGTTCCCACGCCATAAAACGCACACAATGGACAAGCTTTGCAGATGGCCTGTTGCTTTGCCCCTTGGCCAAAAAGGCCAAACTTCCATCAACTTTCCTCTCCGATGGCTGCCTTCATCCTATTGGGTTTTAATTTGAGCTTTGGAAGCTAATTCAAGTTCTAAGGTCGTCTTGTGACAAGTCCTGTCAATTTCCCAACCATATTTGACTAAAATCAGAGTGCATCAACCAACCAAGCAGCATTGGACAACAATACAATAGTTCCTCCACTAACTTTATGCTATCATACTATAGTGGAAGTCTCTCCTCTAGCCTTTTCTTTCTCTTCAACCTTCTCCGGTGGCTCACACATCAACAGATCTGCTTTTCAATCACTACACTCCCCCCCCCCCCCCC